CAAGAACAACAACAGCTGAACAGGTGGACTGATGGACAGGTGTGTGTATGTGTGTATGAAGGAGATTTGATGTCAAATGTGATCCACTGGTGATGATTTACTGATACGCATAACCACTTTGTTCTGGTACAGGCTGCCCGTCGTATGCCGAATTCGTGTAGGCCGATGGTGGATAACTCGGCTGTTGTACCATCTGTGGTGGTGGTGGTTGATTGACTGGTGGCTGTGTCACCGCCGGACTATTCAGATAGCCTCCGTGAACCTTGTACAGGGCAAATAGGAAGAAGCTATCGACGCCGTATGTGATGAAGTTTAATGCGTACATCACCTGGATGGCAAAGAGAAACAAAAAGGATAAGAGATTTGGAGGAGTGAGGATGGAGGAAAAACGTGGTATGAAATTAAAATGAACCGGAAACGTCTCGTTTTGTTCAGTTACTGGGTATTTACATGACACATTGTATTCAGAAAAACAGTGCTCTATATGATCCAACATTTCAGGCCGGCAACATTATGATAAAAATTGTTTCATTCCCGTACAGCTTGCATGTTCTTCTGTTAATCAGTGAGCAAAAATGGGTTGGCATCTCGATTGTCGAATAACCAATCCCAAAAACGTTTGTCTGATCGATGAACTGACTGTCACAAAGTCTCCGGGCTGTCTCCAACCACAAGAACCAATTTTGACTTGCTGACGTAGAGTAAGAAGGGAACAAAAGACCTTAGGGAGCAAAATCAATGTTATTCTATCATTTGTTTTGGTTTTGTACTTTTTTGCTTATGTGCTGATGTCCTCTTTGTTTACCACAGAGCTTGATCACAGCCAGAGGGGGAATTGGAGAAGAGAGAATAGTTCTCTGACAACCTGCGACACCTGTGGCGCTGCCATGATTCCCGTCTGCCTTTTAAGGAAATAGTGCATATGGCCGTAGTTTGTGGTGTTCTGCTGTACGGTTGCGAGACCTGGTCGTTCCGCATTGAGGATTTTAATCGACTTTCTGTATTCCGACACCGATGTCGCCGATGAACTGCCCGTATCTTTTGCAACAACGAGTGAGATATGATAAGGTCTTCCTTCATTTTTTTGGATGTGGATAGTCGTTCTTTAAAAGAGGCAATCTCCTCCGATGGCCTGGTCACGTTTGGTTTATGTCTGTTCATCGTCTACGCTACCGCGCACTCTTTCCACGGCAAGACTGGAAGAACCGCTGCGGCCCTCAGACTATGGTATGACCTAGAGGTATGAAGAGGCTAGTTTCTGCTTTGCTTTTGGTTGGTGCAACCCATCTTCCAGATTGGGATTTAGGTGATGAGGAATATCATTGGTTAGAGACGCAGAGAGATATGACCTAGAACAGAAGTCCGTGTTAAGAATGCTTTGCAGT